AAAATGAACTAACCCCCCAAAATAATGAAAATAAAAGCAGATTATTAATGTCAGTGTTTCTCTCACCTGCAGCTGGTTGATGAGGATCGAGATCTGCACAGCCACCTCCTTGTAGTCCTCCACCACCAGGTTGTAGGCGAAGGAGGCGCCGTAGACCCAGTCCACCACCAACAGGTTCACGTCCTGAGCCCTCAGCAGGGCGCGGGCCAGCTGCTTCACCCAGGACGGCTTACTGCCCATCACCCTGCGGGGGGAGGAGGGGGAGGATGCAGGGCCGCATGGAGGCAGAGGGAAGGATGGTGGAGAGTTTGTTGGTGAGTTTTTAATATATATTTAAACCAAATACCAATTATTTCTAAAGATCACAACAAACAATAAACAAAGCAACACTCAGAAACCCTACTGTGGACTGTGTGTGTGTGGTCTGATCAGATGTGACTGACATGTGACCAAACAACCATCGACTGTCATCAGATTCTCATCCACTGTCTCTAAATAATAAACATTATTATGTATTATATTATCATCATTATACTAAGTTATTCTACTTCAAACCCGCCAGAAAAAGCACAAACAAAAACCTTAAATTATGTCAAGTAAATTAATCAGAACTTTATCAGGAAATTGAGTTCATGTAATGCCCCAGTGCTCACAGTCAGAGGTTCAGTGAGAAAAATGGGATTTAAAGGGTTTTTAAGTGTGCTTAAGGGTGTTTAAGGGTGTTTAAGGGTTTTTAAGGGTTTTTAAGGGTCTTCTCCTCACCTGTACCCGTGGACGATGACCTTAGTCGGGAGGGACACGTTGAAGTAGGACGTCTGCTGCTGCTGCTGTGTTTCCGAGAGAGACTCCTGGTTGAACATCTGTGCACAGTCCATGTTTCTCCTCGTCAGCAGCAGGTACTGTACCTGCAGCTTGAACCTCTGCTGCCGGTACTCCTGCCAGGTGGCGTTGTTGAGGTCGGCGCACTCATAGCCTCGCTGCCTCTCCTCCACACCTGCTCGATGAGAAGGACATGATGTCACACTGCAGGGTCTCATGTCATGCATCGCAGCAAACAGTAAAACATAAAATAACAGCTGATATATATAAACTTTATTGTTTCATACAAGGAAAAAAAATGTTTTCTAGATTATAAGATCCTTATTTCAGTGTATTTATTTAATGCAATGTTAAAATGTGTATTAAACACATACATTACTGCTGAAACTGCAAAAATCATCCATTTGTGCATTTAAAAGTCATGTCTGATTCTTTATTAGTGAAGTGCTGTATTTTGGTAACACACCCTAGACCACCACAATATTATCCAGAATAATAACTACTTGATAATAACTAACAATGGAACTTTACTCTCCCAAACGTCTGCTTCCAAATTAAGAGAAAATGATGCAAGGCCAAGTTTCCTCTAAAGTTAAATGAATTAATGAAAATGTAAATAAATAAAAATGTACAATGCGTACATGTGGTTTTATTTCTACCAATAACCTTTAAAAGTACACACAACATTTTGCAATACAATATATATCAGTATACTCGTGCAAGTTTTACAAAGCTTAATCCTTTTCTTGGCATTTATGTTTTAAAAATACCCCAAAAAAGGGGGACGCAGATTTACATATAAAACGTCTCCGTCATGATCTCCTTCACTTACCCACCACCAGCGACGTGAAGACAGTCAAGACACAGAGCAGGACCGGTTTGTGTTCCCGAGGCATTTTCTCTGTTACCACAGAGGTGAACGGGGAGAGTCGCTGACTGAGAGATTTAGTGCTTAACGGCGCTCAGCTGCTCCGTTCAGCCGCAGATTGGCGGATGGAGATCAGCTCTTGGCTTGAGAAAATCCGGGGCTCTGTGCCGTGTTGCAACTCTGGAACAAACACTCCGGCTTTAGCTTGAAAACAGCTGGCATGAAGCAAAGCAGAAGTCTGTATAAAAGGTTTCACTTTCAAACGGTGTTTGTGCTCTCCTTCTACCCCCCCCTCCCAAATCGGCGGTGGTTAAAAGGAGAGGAGCGCCACACGGACGGCCCTTGGGCCAAACCGCAGTAGTGAAGATGTGTGTGTGTGTCGGTGTGAAGCACCCTTGTGATGTTGGGTGATGTTGACCCTCATCAGTTGCTCATTCTCTTTCCCGGGGAATTTTACACCGTTACTCCCCGCATCCCTTCGACGCCACAAGGGGAACGTCACAAACAGGAACGTCCTCTTTACTCATTGCATTTGTCAGTGGGTGTTTTTTTCTTCTTATCAGACTTGGTTTGCACTGAACTGACAAGTGGTTGAAGCTCTTTGCCTGGCAGTGAAGCCATGACCTCATTGGTATTCAATGGCTGTTTGTTAGAAATGCTGGACTCTGGCCCGGCTGCCCACTGGTGTGTGTGTGTGTGTGTGTGTGTGTGTGTCATAGAAAGTGAGGGGGGTCATCCTGTTATTAATCATTAGCTGATTGATTGTTCCACTTTCACAACATTCTTTTATATAATCAACGATCTGAGTGGAATTTTCCTGCTGAATTTTCGTAGCGGTTCTCCAAATTGTTCTTGTGAATACACAATAGGTTTGATTGGATCTTGCCTCTCGTTTTAAGGTAGTAATTACACAACAAAAGATGTAATCCTTCCCAAGGAAAATGGGTCAAGGGTAAGTTTTGCATCACAAAGTGATTTAGGGAGAGCTCAGATAAAAACAATAATCTGTAATTAGAAAGGTGCACGAAGTAGAATCCAGATCTCCGCCAGGTGTGTCTTCAACCATTCTTTATTCAAACTCAAAAACAAGCGGCAATGTATGCAGCCTATCGGCACGAAGATGTCATATAAGACATGTCCTACAATCTTGCCAAACACAAAAATGTATTTCACCAAACTGCCTGCAAAGCAGCGGCAGAGTAGCAGAGAGGTACTCAGCAGTGTGTGCAGTGATAGTTGCATTAGCTGTTAACTAAACACTGAATACTGTTATCTCCTCTTCTTTTGCCTTATGTTTTGATGCTTTTAATGGTTTTATGTGAAGCCTTGTTGAAATGTGCTCTACAAATAAACTTGCCTTGTTGCTGTGGATGCAGAGTAGCAGCCGGGGGTCAGCGATGCAGTCAGCTGTGCTATCACAAGCGGCCACTACAGTCAATGGCAGCATCCACTACAGTCAATGGCAGCATCCACTACAGTCAATGGCAGCATCCACTACAGTCAATGGCAGTATAAAACAAGCAATAAAAAAGGTGTTTTGAGAAAGTGCGAGTCACCGCAACCACGAGTTCTTGAGCATGCAGCCGTTACTGGCCGACCAAAATATGATGCAGTTTGCTGCAGCAGAGTGAGAGAAGTCGCTGTGTACAGACACAAGAGACGGACACTCATTCGGTCGCCCACGCACGCATTCGACCAATTGCATGATTCACCGGTCAAAGTTTACTCTTCCAAAAGTCCGTTTGCTTCCAACTTCAAAGAAAAATGATGCAAGTCTCCCTTAAAGTTAAATGAGTTGATGAATTTATAAATCAAGTATAAATGAAAATGTACGTTTGTTTTCTCACCACAAACTTTAATAGTGCACACAACATATTGCAATACAGTGAAGGGACAACAGGTGACATTGACATGAGTCAACGATAAAGATGTAAAATTGTTTTTGAACTTTTAGTGTGTTGGGAGTCCAACCCTCCTCTTCCTCACAAAATTGAACATTGCTTACTGTACCGTTAACCTTAAATCGTAGAAAGAGTGAATGCTTATCCTCAAATAAACCATATAGTTGTAGGAATATGGTGACTCCTAGTGGTAATATCAGACAAACGAAATAACAAGAACATGTGTTAAACTTATTAGAATAATGAGAAAGATGCTACAACAGGCTACAAAATAGTAAATGGTGCCTCTAAAGAAACATTGACAGTGATGATCGCCATTTTTTTGGCTGTGTGCTTCAAATACACTTCCTCTAAAACTTTCTTCTTACTGTCGCCACAGGGAAAGGGTCTTAACCAATGAATTAAAACACAAGCATGCACAAACCGATAATGTATAAACGACTTTTCACAAATTATTTTGCTCTTATTCTCTCCCTCTCCTTCGGCAGCTCTGACGCGAGCCACTCGGTGGTGCGTTTGCGGGCCTCCTCCCAGGTGTGTCTGGGGGCGTATCCCAGGTCCCGCTTGGCCTTCTGATAGGAGAAGCTGAACGGCGTGTTCAACATGGTGACGAGCTGCCGGTTCAGCGGCGGGACGATGCGTACCAAAGGCCGGACCATCATGCACAGCATCTCCATGAGGAAGCAGACCGTGTAGAGGAGCCAGAGCGGATACATGAGCTTCTCCTGAATGTTGAAGCCCAGAGGTGCCATCACGACGTGGTTGAAGTCCGAGTAGCTCACAAGCGGCGTGTCGTCGGAAATGAAGTAAAACTTTCCTCCGATGGCGTTTCTTTTTTGTGGATCTTTGAGGCTGCGTGCCGCTTGGAGGTGGCCCGAGGCCACGTTGCCCACATACACGGGATTCACCCGGGCTTCTGGCTGAGACATGCGAAACAGAACGTCTCTATTTCGTATCCCGTCGCCCATGTGGCCCAGCAGGAAGCGGCAGCCCTCGCCGTAGATGTACATCGGTCTGAGGGCGCACGTGGCCAGTCGGCCTCCGTTCTGGAGCAGCTCGCCGTGGGCCTCCAGGGTCCTCCGCTCGCCCTCCTTTTTGGTCTTGCTGTAGGCGAACTTCAGAGCGCACTCGTACACTGTGTCCTCGCTGCCGTTGATGATGGGTTCACCTCTTGGGTTTGGTCCCATCACCTCGATGGTGCTGGTGAAGATGAAGGACACCACGTTCTCCTGGATACAAGCCTCCAGAAGCAGCTGCGTTCCTGCAAAGCAAAGATGCTCTAGAGTTTATATGAGTTAAAAGAGATCCGAATCTCTAGCTGGAGGAGGACAAACCCTTCTTCTTTTCACACCAATAAGAACGTAAACAATTAAATCAGAGAAGCTGCACTTTCTTTCATTGTAGGAATGGCTGAAGTTGAAAAGAGTTAGTTGCAATCAAAATTGTTCTGCTTGTTTCTTTATATATTATGAATAAAATATCAGTGAACATGTAAAATAAATAAATAAATAAATCCAGATCTGTAGAAGAAAGAAAAGTGTAAAGGTGACTGAAGTTGAAGCACTAAAAGAAGTTGAAGTGGCTGTTACAGTCAAAGATATGAGTTCTATGAGTATATGAGTTTAAGTTTAAGTGTGAATAAAGTTGAAATAGAAGCACGAGAAAACGGTTAAAAAAGTCAGTTTAAGTTAAAACTGCTTCAACAGCAATGTCGCCAGGAAAACATGTTGGCATTATACGTTGCTGCAAACAATATTATTGTTATTTTTTTGCGTTTGGTTAGAGGAAGTGACGCAGTTTATTGAGTGAGCGTTATTGAAAGTTCCAAGTTATAAAGACGAGGGAAGCAAGGAAATTCCATAAAGGGAACACAAGACTTTCACTCAGGAGACAGCTGGTTGTTTCCTGTGTGAAACCAAAAGTGAACATTGACTTTACACTTGCAAAGTTTACATTAAAGTTCGAAATTAAAATGTAATTTTAAGTGTAAGCGCTTAAAGCAGTTCAGTCCCTCGATAAAGTAGTTAGTTGAAGTGTATCAGCAGCTGAAAGCAACTGAAGTGTCAATTAATGTAATAAAAGCAGTTTGAACAAATCAATAGAAACTTAAGCACCCAAAGTCAGTTGAAGTGTAAACATTTAAAAGTTCTGCTTTATCAGTTGAAGTGTAAGTTCTGAAACAAGTTAATGCCCGTTGAAATATGAGCAGTGAAAGCAGCTGAAGTGTCAAAGTAAGCAATGAAAGCACTTGAAGTAGCACTTAAAGCAGCTGAAGTCTTCATGGAAGTGTAATCAATGAAAAAGTAGTTTTTTGAAGTGTAACAGCGGCTGAAGTGATAATTAAAGTAATGAAAGTCATTTGAAGTGAGAAGAGTTGTGCTTTATCTTTCAGTGCGTTAAAGCGACGGTCTAACCTTTGACGTTGACCCCGTGTATCTCGCTGTACTCCACCGTGTCCTTAACGTCGATGATGGCTGCGATGTGGAAGACGGTCGATGCTCCTCGACAGCTTTTCCTCAGGAATTCGCCGTCTCTGATGTCGCCCTCGTAAACAGTCAACTGTGTGTCGCCTCGACAGTCTGACATGCAGCAAATCAACAAGAAACTCTCATCAACCAACACAATATACCATTTAGTTATTTGGTTTTCTTATAGAGTATTTTCACATCTTTTATCCTTAACCCTTGTGCATCACTAGGGACATTTTTGTCTATTACATTTTTTTGACTGTGTTATTGCATATTCATACATTTTGTTACGGGTGTGATGTTTTTTTCTTCCTCGAGTTTTGGGAGTAGAACCTCAGCTCCTTTAATAAGTCTATAATAAACTGTAGCCAGAATACGAAGACCAACCAAGACCCTAAAGGACAAAAATGTCCCCATTGAAACCCATTAAAACTGACATCACAATTGTACTTTTTACACTCTTCCACCAGTCTGTGCCAGTTTGGGGCAAAAACGTGTGGTTCTCCCGGTGTCCACTAGGGGCATCGCTGCCGTACTATGGAGCAATGCATCACAATCAATATTATTGCTAATCATTGACATATCCCAGACAATATAAAAAGCCTAGCATTTGGTGTATAGAAAATAATTACATTGTTGTGTAGAAGTAAAAAAAGCAGAATAATATGAATATATAAATGGCAGTTTTCATTACTCCATCAACATGTTGGTCCTCTGAAGCACATCAGAGCTAATTCTTTTAAGGGTTAAATCTTTGTAAACTAAATATAAATAAATAATCTATTTCAGCCCAAGACTGTTATTATATTTGATTAAATTAAGTTTAAATTAAAAAAAGACAAATCAAACTACTGGTATTACAAAGTGTTCCCATTTTATCAGTGTTAGTTTTCACTACAGCCTCATAATATTGAGAGTAAATACTACATTTCTACTTATACTTTACTATCAATGTTGATTAAATTACAGAAACTGCACTTCGTTTAATGGCACGAATGGTTGAAAATCTTTAAAGAAAGGAGGAGTTATTTGCAATCAACATTGTTCTGCTTGATCTGTTTCTATATATATTGTGAATAAAATATCAGTGAACACATAATGAAAAAGACAGATTTTTACCCTCCAGAGACTCTAAAAGTTGCGGCTGTACTTGTTTGTCCAGCAGTCGAATCTCAGCCGCTTGCTCTTCCTCCAGCAGCAGCCTCACCAGCCTCTTCCCCAGGAATCCACTGGCTCCCGTCACCACACACACTTCACCTCTCAGAGACATCGCAGGTTAATTCTCTCTTTGTACGAGAACCAACAAAATAACTATCTTCCAATGGACCTCTTGAAGATGCTTCTCAAAAGAAAAACAACTTTTGTGTTTTTGGATGTTTTGGGTTCTGTTTGTCAGAGAACGACAGCTGCTTCTGTCCTCTCAGCCTCAGCCCTTTCACTATTTGTAAACCCAGAAAGTTTACCAGAAAAAAACGAATTATTTGCCTCAAGGCAGTGTGAAAAAAGGGGAAGGGCTCGGCTGCAGCTCTGTGATGCTTTGTGGAGCTAGAAAAAAGAAAATTGGGGGCTGGAATGTTTTATATGCCAAGGACAGTTGCTGTTGGAAGTTTTATTCCATCATCTAAGTGGGAATAACTCTGCATGTGATGAAGAGAAAACACACGAGGATCAATGTGTTATTTTTGAAGATGACTTCTACTTTTATTAAATGAATGAGTCCCCAAGATGAACAGATGAAAGAAGTGTTGTGATATTTTAAGTAAAAGTAACATGTCAATACATGTAAAAGTCCTGCATTAAAATGTGTTAAGTATTGACAGAAAAAAGGTACCAAAAGTATAATAAGTCTCTTTGGCCATCACCATCTTGGTTTTTGGCTGTGGCCATCTTGGTTTCAACAGCAATGTCTCTTTGTTGCTTAAAATAATCCACAAACATAGTTGTAAGCAGTTTTTCAAATGTATGTTCTTTGAAGCACCTCAAGCCAAGTGCTATACATTCCCATTATATTGGAGAGAAGGCAGACATCCCTACGATCTCAAACACTGCAACTCACAACAAAACAATCTAGATTGACGAATAACACAACAGGTTAGAGGAAACATATCTTTTGTTGATTTTTGTGGTGAACTGTTCCTTTAAGCCTGCACACTGTGGAGTGTTTGAACTGTCATCAAAGCGCTCTACCACAGCAGAAGAGGATCTTTCCATTGTTACTGCTTTGTTTAGAAACTCAGAGGAGCAGCTGAACAAGGTTCTTTTAAAATGAAAGATGAGTAGATCAGATCTGTACTGCGGGTACAATAATTAAATACTTTCCTCCAGAGGAAGGTACAAGGCTAGAGCAGCCAAAACAAACAAGACTCCACATTTCAAGGTGACATCTGTCGGCCAGATGGCCAAATATGTTTTCCCTCCCTCGTGATGAATTATAGTTGGCCATGGTTTGCTCAGTAAAGGGTACACTGGTTCATGTGGCTGTGTGGTGGAAACCCCTGAGTGCTGCAGGGTTTTTACCCTCTCGAGCAGTATTATCATGTCTGTACACCCCCAGAATAAAACATTTCCTACACTTCAATCAGGGGCCTAAAATTGTCAGTGTCTTGACGTTGAGCTACGGCTTCTTTTCAAGTTATTTGTTATGTCGATTATTTGCTTTATTTGAACTAAGAGTGCAGAAGGTTTAGGCCACCTCTCACATCTTACTGTGTAGCATAAAGTACTGCTTTGTGCATCTTTTCTATGTAGACTCGCCATCTACTCTTCAGTATTTGTCGTCCTCGGCGTAGAATTCGATATCGCAGCTGGCTGTTGTCTTATCTGGAAGGTGAAGGTCGACGTCTCAAGGGTAGCTTCGTCGTCCTTCACTTGTGAGGTCCGTGTGTGTGTGTGTGTGTTAATACGAGCTTTGGCCTTCACTGTCTGAGTGAATGAGTGTGACATCAACAGTTTATTTTCATCTTAAAACACTGCATATACATATATATACAAAACATAACTTTGATATTTTTACATGTCTGTTGGAAATGAGCTCTAATCGGCAGTTGTAATTTGAAAAAATGTGGACTTCACACGTTCAATTAACAGACGGAATTTCCAAATTCCTGTTGGTTTTGCCGACATCTTATGACTCGACTACTTGTCTGAACAGACAGGGCTTGTTAGTTAAACAGACAGCGCTTGTTAGCAGGATGGAGTCATCGCTGCGTTTGGTCTCAAGTTGTAAGATTATCAGAGAGTGATGGAAAGACTTAGATAATGACAGCTTTATTCTTTAGTCACAGTATTTCCATGCTGAATTCAGAAGCTGTGGTGTCGCCAAAAACATTTTCATTCACTTAGGAAGTCAATTTGACCTCTTTTTATGTCGCTTCAGTTTGTGAATCAGCGATAATGTTCCCTGAATCGATGTTCAGCCAATTTGACCTTCGTTTCCTTTCACAGACTGAGACTGCAGAGAGAAAGAACACAAGCAGCACAGCAGGACGGATGCTTCATGGCTGACAAAAAAAGCAAAGACAGGGAACGGCACTATAGAAATAGTAAAGAGGTGCAAACCACTGAATGCTAATGTTAGAGAAGTAGCCACGCTTGCACCTGCTCATGTTTGCAACCTACACTGTTTCCTGTATCGGAACCCCCCCCCTGTGGTGCAGTATCAGCTCTTAGCTGTAGGCAGCGGACCCTCCTGCATCTCAGCCTCGTCCACTGACCCCTCTGGCAGATGAACGGTCATCGTGCAGGAACGAATCCCCCCCAGAGGCTCCAGCACGTTGAACACCCTGTCCCACACGTCCTGCTCCGGATCGTACCGCTGCACAATGTCAACCATGCATCTGCTGTTCCAGGAATACCCTCCCACCACGTAGATCTGCCCGTTGAACACCGTCACACCGACGTCGCTCTGGCCCCAAGACATTGGCGCCACCACCGTCCACTGGTCTGTCGCCGGGCTGTAGTATTCGCAGGCCAGGACATCGTCGTAGTCGGTGCTGCCCCGGAAGTGATTCCCGCCCATCACGTAGAGTTTGTCGCCGATGGTGCACATGCAGTGCAGGCCGCGGAGCTCCATCATGTCGGCTCGGCGACTCCACGTGTCGGTGGCGGGGTCGTAACACCAGAGCTCCTTCTGGAACGTGTCACGGGTGATTCCACCTGTGTGAAGAGAGAGAATTCAACAAGTGTTTCATTCAACCAAGTCGCCAGAAAAACAATGTTTCCATTGTACGTTTCTGCAAACCACAGAGTACGCTGAATGTCGAGGTTTCTGAAACAAAAATCCATTTCATGAATTGCATAAACGCACCACTTGGTTAAAGTTGTGAAATGATTAATAAGGTTTAGGGGAACAAAACTACTTGATTGACGTTCATGATTTATGATCAAAATAATAACGTAACATTGTAACGTAATAATTTAACTACATAACTTAACATCCTAATGTAACAACGCAACGATGTAACATCCTAACGTAACATTGCAACGTAACAACATATCATAACATAACAATGTAACGTAACAATGTAACAATGTAACGACGTAACAATGTAACAATGTAACAATGTAATGTAACAATGTAACGTAACAATGTAACACCGTAACAATGTAACAATGTAACAATGTAATGTAACAATGTAACGTAACAATGTAACAACGTAACAATGTAACAATGTAACAACGTAACATTGGAACGTAACAGCATAACTAAAATAATTTCCTTTTTCTGTGTTTCTGTGTTAACTAAATGATTGTACACTAACTTCTTACAATCTAGGCAGGCCTTGTTGTCACCACAACTGCAATTCAATTTCAAATAGATAGTTCGAAAATTCTCCCTTTTGGTGAATTCAAGGACACGGTAAGAACCAATAGAAGAATTTGGAACATGCTGGGAAATTATAGTACTTGTAATTAATGGGCTACAACATGCAGAAGTGTGTTTGGAGAATTTCCTTTTTCCATGTTTTGCCCTGAACATAGCAAATATGAACATTTTATTCTACAGACTGAGTCTGAAAAAAAGTCCATTGAATTAATCAAACAATTCCTTAAGCAACATTTTTTTATGTTAGCTTTGAATGCAGGAAGTTACAAAAGAAAAAACATCATCTTTCAGGACTTCTGGGCCTCTAAAATTTACAGAATCTCATATGTTGTTTTCCCTTCACCTCATATTTGCTAGTTGTCGTTTTATCACATATGTCAAGACATTAAGGAATCTGAAAAAAAGACCATTGCTCTGCTACTGCCGTTTTCAGCTACTTTCAGCTCATTTTGGGGGGTTTTCAGATAACCAATGAATTCAATATTTAAATCAAAAGTGGGCAGCTGCTTGAGCTCACAGAGAGCCATGTTTCAGGAGTGGGCCGACCACACCAGGTCTTAAACACATGGATACTGGAGCAGGAACAGTTTGTATGAATGTTCATGTTGAGCTGTTGCTGTTTGTGTTAGCATGCTAGACATAACACGTTGATAAGATAAATGCTCGCAGCGTTCTTTTCTGAATCTCTCTCTTTTCACAGTCGCAGTTTGAGCCGAGGTTCAAACTCAAAAGCCCCGTGGTGGAATGAAATAGATATGTGTCTGCTCTGTTGTGTATTCTGGTGAACATCACCGACACTTTAGAGCTTGCGAGAGTCGTGGGTTTTTTAATTTGTTGCAAAGTACTGGGACCCGCTTCAACCACAGGTCTTGTTGTGTTTCCTGCTTCTCAGTCATTCGTGCGAAACAGTTTCTGCCCTCAAACCTTTTCTGTCCGAGGTTCCTAAGAAACCTGACAGACAGCAGGTTGAGGGCAGAGAGTGTGCTGCTAAACAGGAAGTGGTTTCAAATCGGCCAGCCATGCAAGCGTTTGTCAATAACTAATTTTTTAAGATCTGGTATTTACTTATTCCAGAGGGTTTGTAACATTAAAACATTAAAAGTAATAAATCAATAACAAAGCTTATTTATATGAAAACCAGCAACAATTACAAAGTGCTCTACAAGGCAGACGATACAATGCATTGCAGTACGAGTAGCCTACAGATGAGCTCTAACAGGATGTAACTATCTCTGTGACTTCCTGTGTATTCTTTGAAGGCTGCTGGAAACTGTCCAACTTGACCCAGCTTTACTGTCACGGCCCCCTGCTGCTGCCCCCACAACTCGCCCACTTTACAGCCGAGGTTTGACTCATCGTGAGCGAGCCTGTTATGAACCCATCAGGAAGGAGCGTCATCAGTGTTTTGAAGGTATCCTGTGGTGTTTTGGACCACCAGCAGCAGTTTCTCATGCACACACACACACACACACACACACACACACACACACACACACACACACACACACACACACACAACAATACACATGCACATTCCTGCCAAAGTTAACAGCCAGAGATTTTAAAGGATTTTTAAATATTGAACCAGCTGCTTGGTCTTAGTGAGCTAAGTAGATCCAGAGTCATGGTTTTGTTCCTATTCTCATTTTGGCCTGCAGGGTTAGAGCTCATTTCAAGGCCTTTAAACTTAATTCTACTTTTATCAAACCATTTTGAGTTTGGGGAGTGAAGAGATGGTATCTGTCACGATTCAGGAAATGCACGATTGGACACAAACACAGACAAACTGGTCAGTTCAGCAATTTTAAAGGATTTCTAGAGCTAACGGAAGCTGATGAGGAGAAGAGGGGCAGCTGAGTAGGTGGGGCAGTCAGTGATGGAGGAAAGAAGGAGGGCACCAGGTGGACGGATGGGAAACAACGCTATATTTTCCACCAGGACTGTGAACACTGGAGGAATTTCTATTCCTACTTTAAATGACCTGATGAAGTCTTTTACCAGGTCATTTGTTGAAACACTTAAAATGACCATTGTGTAGATTTCATCAATAGAGTGATTAATAACTGCCCTTAACAGGAGACCTTTGTCTTACAGCTGTGAAAAACCTTTAAGTGGGGATGGATGCTCGGGTGTACGACGCATGTGTCACCAACACTGCAGACTGTGAGAGTTGCGTCCCCCGCTATGAAAAGTCACTGTTGGTTTCTTTTTACCAGGAAGGCAAGCTTTGTGCAACTCCAACCATGACTGTGATCTTTGTCTGAACACGTAGTTCTTGCTAAACTTAACCACAGAGGCAGCAGAACAGTCATAAGGGTAGAGTATGAATACAATGGCTTGTTGTTAAAGTATGAGGACTTAAAATACTTGTTTATTGTGCCTTTTAAAAAGTTTTGAGTCTCTCTCTTTTTCCACCAAAATGAGTGCGCATATGCAGGAAAACCTGCAAAACATAGGCAATAGAGTCCTTTCCCATTGCCAGTAGACCAGTAGTCTTTCTGTTTCTTTTTGGTTTGTCAACGTGACAGAAAACCGTGAAAAACAGTCGACATGTTACGGTGGTTACTTCTTATTTATGTCTGTTACTTATTCAGTCTCTCTTTCAAACTCTCAAACCAGAGTTGGTGATTGTTGGAAACGTGAAAAAGACAAAGATGGTTTTGATGAGTTTTGATTTGTTTCTGTTGAGTTTGAATGGAGTGTTTTTTACATCAATCAGCGAGGTTTCTGTCAATGGAGTCCGTTGGCTTTTAGGAGAGAATATTAACAATACTCGTTGAATAAAGAGTTTATTTCAACTAAACAATAGTTGGTGGTTGGTGGAACAGTGGAAAGACTAACCAAGAGAGTGTTAATGACTTTTTGTTTCTGTTGAGTTTGATTGAAGCAACACAGTCTCATGGCAGATTGTGAAACAGTCACATTTGAATCTTCTGGTTTTATGTTGAGCGACATGAATTGTCCATATTTTATCATGACAGTGGGCACGACTTCTTTTTCTGTCAGTTGGGACGACATTACACTACAAAACGAAAGTACGGTTTAGGCAACAAAACCACTAAGTTAGTTTTAGGAAAAGCATCATAGTTGGGCTTAAAATAAGTTCGTACAGTTTAGGTTTAGGCAACGAAACGAATGCGTCACAAAACATTGGACCAATTCCCAACCCGCCCACCATAAGTGGTCTGTCTCAGTATTTAATACTACGTCATTAGCTCTGACCGTTGCTCACGTGAATGCGTTTAATTTGTGTGTCCAGCAGTTAAAGGATCCTAATTTACAATATGTCTCACGTACACAAATTGACTTAATAATAAATGTACAATTTCCTGTTGTTTCTTCATGAATGACAGAGACGAGAAGATAAACTGAGCTCAGACACATTCTGAGTTTTGTGTCGATCAGCGTTGACTTACCGGAGATGTACATCAGGTCCCCGTGAACTGTTCCAGCGTGTCCATAGTGAGGCTCCACCATGTTGGTCACGTTCGTCCACTCATTTTTCCTGAGGTTGTAGCACTCCACCGTGTCTGAGCAACGTGACAGAGAGACGTTTGGGAAAAGTAGAATTTAATTCAAGCATCAACGCCTTGTTTCACCACAGCTCTGTGCACGTTTATGAGTCAATGGGAAGTTAAATCATTCCTATGGGAACATTTGTGATCTACGATGTGTTTTTTTGCACGAGTACTTTGAAAATTTTTACTTCTGACGGACAGGAAGTTCGTCAAATTAGCAAAATTATAACTGAATGATGAATGAAACAGAACTCCATTTATTTAAAGTTTGATGGCATATTCAGCCAGTTCTATTTTGTTAAAGGTGCTTTAAATACGGGATTAGGATCATTTCTGTTGCCCCTTTTGTTAACTCAAATTAACATATTTCTAACAAAAGAGCTCCTGTTTCTTAAATAAATAACTTAAACTTGTGAACTGGAAAAAACATCTATTTTTATGCTATTTCTTTTTCTCTTTATGAGCTGGGTTGTAACAGCAGCAAAAAGCAGACAGACACAGTTAGCTAGTGAACAAAGTAGAGCATTTAGCAGCTAAAGAGACATATATTTAGAGTTGGTGGAGACTAACAAACAGAGTTTGAACAGAGAATATTCTACAGAAATATGACTCCAAATTAAAGCAGTACTGGCAGCAGTAGTGGAACAAGAACTATCAGCTGCTCACCAATCTCTCCTGACGCATTCCTTCCTCCGACTGCAAACAGTTTCCCCTTCAGCGTGCTCAGGTGGAAGAAGGTCCTCTTCTCATTGAGCGAAGCGATCTGAAGCCACTTGTCGAAGCGCGGGTCGTAGCGGTAGGCGCTGTCGATGGCCGTCTTACCCTTGGTGTCGTAAGTGCTCTGGCCTGAGAACAAGAATTGTGTTAATGGGGAATAAATTGTAATCGGTGAAAAAAAAGCATTTATTTATTCTACTAATTTCTTTATATAATTCGGTCATACAGTCTTGATGATGAACGATGTACCATCACTTCTTCCCTTCCAGCTAACTCATTAAATTATGCAAGTCTAGGACCAAAGTGCCTTTTCACCAGGCGGCAACGTCCGGTTCGGAAAAGTGAAACCAATGCATTCTCTCTAGTGTCCACCAGGGGGCGACTCCTCTGGTTGTATAGAAGTCTATGAGAAAATGACTCTACTTCTCTCTTGATTTATTACCTCAGTAAACATTGTAAACATGAGTTTATGGTCTCAATCTCTAGTTTCAAGTCTTCTTCGATACAGCATGATGTTCATTTAGTACATTATGGTCCATTTAGAGTCAACAGACCATAAAGCAGGGGATGCTTTAGGGCGGGTCTACACAGTGATTGACAGGTCGCTACCAGAGACGTAAACGGCGTCTCTACGTCACTCCTCCACAGTCCAAATATGGTCACTTCCTGTTCACTGGTCGCAAAAAAACAAGATCCAAGGACCGAAGTCCAAGATGGCAACAGCCAAAATGCAGAATTCAAGGCTTTTCACCAATAAAACTATGGCTTGTCTTGGGTTATGTTCCTATCCTGCAGTTTGCATGGACCATCATTAACAAGGTAGCTTCCTCTATTCAGTGTGTATGTGTTTTCCCCCAAAGTTAAATACCCATGTTAAATGAGCACATGCAGTTTGACCTGCCTGAGGTGGATATTGCCCTGAGAGTGTGAAGTGTTCTGACCTCCAACAATGAAGAGGAAGCCGCCAAGAATAGCCACGCCATGCTGGTATCGCGGTGCCTCCATGGGCTTCAGGGCCCTCCAAAGGCCGGTCTTTTCGTCATACAGCCTCAGCTCCCGGCTCACCACCAGCTGCTGTCGCATCACGCCGCCCAGAGCCAGGATGTGGGTGTCGTCCGAGCGTATTCGCGTCCGCTCGGTCTGCAGAGCCGGCTGCATGAAAGGCATCATCTGGTAGTTGCTGGCCTCCAGCAGGAGGTTCACACAGGCCGTCTCAGAGCGCATCATGGAGTCCCCTCCCTCCTCATCTTCCTGGGAGATCTGGATCAGCTCGTTGGGGCTCATCAGCGGGAAGCGAATGTGGCGCATCAAGGCGTAGATGGAGGAGCGTCGACTGGGGGAGTCGTGGTCCAGCCATCCTCTGGCGATGTGGTAGAGCTCCATCTCAGAGAATCCCTGCAGGGTGTTGTTGGACAGAGCGTTGGCCATGCTGGTTTCAGAGAGCTGGAGGTAGCGGCCGCACTCCACCAACGCTGAGAGGTTCTGGCTCACAAACTCACCTGGGTTTGACACAACAAAGAGGATCATCATCATCATCTTATTTTAGTTTGTTCAACCAGAATGATGTGTAATATTTAGATTTCTTTCTGGATGTTTTGATAACAGAAGAGTGGATATAAATAATGAAGCGTTTTAGGGATTGCTGAGGATCTGATCTGAGGATCTACAACTCCAATACAACAATTCGATATCATCTCTGTCATTGTAGCCTCATACAAAAGTTCGTATGATATCTTACAAAAAATTGGAATTAATGACTTCTCTGCAGCTTTGCAAAGTCATCCAGCGGGACGGATTGGACCCCCCCCCCCCCCGTTCTACGCTAATCCCACTTTCCACCTCATCTACATGTTATTGCAGATTTAATAGTCCCGTTGCTTCTGTGCTCTCACATCAGTGTTGTGAACACTCACCTATATTCAGCTGAACGTCCGCCAGAAGCAGGTCCATGGCGATGCGCTCCACCTCCACACAGTTATCAATAGTGATCTGCATCGAAGAACAACAACCACATGCAAGAGTCACTCACAAACATCTTCTTTATTCTGTATTGTGTGACTGACACTGGCAGAGAGGGCGTTAAAGGACAGTGAAGTGCAGCTTAACGAGCTAGACCTCTAGCTGAATATCAATTAAGGCAAATTCTCTCACCTCGCTGCTCAGCAGCTGATTGCAGAATCTCAGGACGGGCATGACCTGCAGGAAGTTTGCCGCCTCCAGAGTGTCCTGGAGATTACTCATGTCGAGGCAGACTTTGGATGTGTAAATGAAGTCTATAATGTTCTTTAAACCCGACTTAGTGACCCCGTGCAGCTTGATCTCTCTCATCTCCTGCTCCCTCATGCCTCCTGAACAAGGACAGAACAAAGTACAAAGAGACAAAGAGGTGAATGCATCTTCTTTTAATGCACATTCAGCAACACACAAAGACACCGTAAAGCCTGGCAGCTCAGACATTATGCAGGGAGAGGATAATAAAAGTATTGAATTATGTTTAAAGCAGGAGAATGTCAAGTTCTTCCTCTTTTCTTTTACTTTGTAGACTCGTAGTCTTGACACTGTGGTGGTGTTTTCCGAAATGTGTCTCTTATCAATGTCTAATTTTAATGTATAAAAGTATGCTCATGTAGGTCCTTTTGTAGGGGTGTTATTTTAAATGAATTGCGACCCTGTTCTATTTAGTGGACTGGCTGTGAAACAATAAATAGACCATTCATTATTTTGATCCATTACACCTGTGTTTACCCTTCTATGACAAGTCAAAACAGCGGCCGTGAAAAGGGCCTATTACATGTAGTGTTGCTGTTACATAGTAAAGTGTGTTTCACCATGTCTTGAGCTAAAAAAGCCAGAGTTTGCGACGTTAAAAAAACGTGACCTCTCACCTGTGAACATCGCTTTGAAATAGTCACTACACGAAGCCATGATGACTCTGTGGACTGGGAAAGTGTCCCCGCTGTCCCCGGGGACCAACACGACGTCACAGAGAGTCGTATCTGCCCGAAAAACATCAAAGCCCTGCAGGAAAAACAATACCGAATAACTTAATGTGTTGCATCATTAATTCCTTATTATGACAACGTTATATTTATTGGTGGCTTCTACGAGATTCTTCTTTGCCTTTTCATTGTGTTAATACTGTGGGATTTGGTGGTTAATATTCAGGTGGCAACCTCTGGTTCTGAAAAGTGAATCCAATGCTTCATGTGTTAAAGCTGCATTCTCTCTAGTGTCCACCAGGGGGCGACTCCTCTGGTTGTATAGAAGTCTATGAGAAAATGACTCTACTTCTCTCTTGATTTATTACCTCAGTAAACATTGTAAACATGAGTTTATGGTCTCAATCTCTAGTTTCAAGTCTTCTTCAGTACAGCATGATGTTCATTTAGTACATTATGGTCCATTTAGAGTCACACAGACCATAAAGCAGGGGATGCTTTAGGGCGGGGCTACACAGTGATTGACAGGTCTCTACCAGAGACGTATACGGCGTCTCTATGTCACTCCTCCTCAGTCCAGATATGCTCACTTATATTCACTGTATTGCTGATGACTTGAAACTAGAGATTGAGACCATAAACTCATGTTAGAGAGAATGCAGCTTTAAGACATGAAGCATTGACTTCGCTTATCATTCTCCTGCCTCACGCCTATAAATGACGTTGAGAAATAGTTGATTTCTTCCATTTTTGTGCCCCAAAATAAGTTGTTGTTAATAAGTGACATAAAAACACAAAAAAGTAATAAATACCTGCAACACAGCTGCTCCATGCTCGGTACTGCTGAACACCTTGGACAGTGGCCGAGGGGGAAGTTTGGGCTTTGTGGCTCTATCTGGGCGTGTAGGTGGCGTTTTAATGGGTGGGGTGAGAGGAGCTGGAGCTGGAGCTGGAGCTGGAGCTGGAGCTGGTGGAGAAGGCCGGTCATCTATCAAACCCAAATGGAGATATTAAGAGATGAGAAAAGTCGTGATACTTTTGTTGGTGCAGGTGCAAGGAACTACTGATGGTGGGTCCTGATGGATATAAAGTATAGAAGTATTAGCAGCAACATGTACTCAAAGTATCAAAATGTATTTTTTAGGCATATCTGAATATTTGAGGGGATGTGTGTCCCCCAATATGTATATTATAATTTTATAATTACAGCCTCGGTGCAAGATATGTACAGTATGAGCAGTATGAACATGAGCAACAGTTAGCAAAATATTTAATGCAGGTTTAAGTACAAGTATAGAGAGTATTATAGGTGAGATATAGTCAGGATAGTAGTATAAATACGTATAGTGTCATATTTCATATTTTATAACTAAGATGTAAAACCTCAATCTGAAAAGTAACTAATAACTAGCGCTGGCAAATAAATGTAGGGAGTAAAAAAGTACTATAATTTCCTCTCAAATGTACCTGAAAATGCAGTACAGTACATAAATGTACTTTCCACCACTGAGACAAACACAAACCTCGGTTAGCCATGTGTGAGCTTCCTCTCTTCCTCGTATCAGATCAAAATAATAAAAGATATAAATCAAAGAGACAGGGAACACACACACACACACACACACACACACACCTGGTTGAACAGGTGGGTCAGATGCAGCAGGAAGTCTCTCCGGCTGAGCTGCAGGTCTCGGAGGATCCCTGGACTGATGCCTGCTCAGGCGAGAGAACCTGCGGCTCAGCCTCCCCGGCCCGCTGTCGTCTCCACTTCCCCTGCAGAGGAACGAGGAAGTGTGGGTTCTTTACGGCATCATCTTGTATCCCCAATACTTAACACCTCCCTGCAGTGAAATCCTTATTTTGTGGCTTAAGTGATGTTGAGAGGAATCTGATAACAACCCGGCTGCATCCACAACATCTCCGTGTTGTTATTTCATTGTAAAAACCTATCATGCACAGTATATTTAATGCAAATTAGAGCAAAACAGGAATAGCAGGCTTGACAACACATGCCAAATTATATTTTGAGAGTTTCATTAACTCTGGTGGCAGTTTTTCATCGTACACTTTTAGCCGTACTTTTAGCACTTCCTCTTATGGTTGTAAACAAATACCACTTCCTTCAGCTCACTTGGCCGAGCCTACCTACTCCCATGGCCCAAAGCCTAACTTAACCATCTCTAATGTGAAGCATTTGATTCATGGAGGTTCCTGGAAGAAGACCTGCAGCTTAAAAAAAGCATTTCATCCGAGTTGTATGGATCCTGTGATCTGAATAGGAGGAACCAGAGGACCACTTCTCCTCTTTAAACTGTTTCCTGCCAAGCTACTCGCACACAGGGAGTCCAAAGAACACCCAGAGAAGGAATAAATACAACTAGCGAATGCACATTCTGTCACACAAAGGAAAGAAAGTGTTTGAATGTTTCATTTCTAAAATCCACGGGCAAAAGAGATAAATATTCTTCTTTACACACACAATTTAAAGTTCAAGCAGTTATTAATGCCATTTTTATGTATGTTTTTTATTGTTTATTATCATATATAATTATGCAGGAATCCAGCTTCTTAAATATGTATTTATTGAATTAGTTAAATTCAATAATTCAAATGCAATCTTTAACACAGCATGAGTGCATTAAACATGTTGTAGTAGTGATCTAAATTGATTCTGGGAAATGATTTTAGGCAGAAAACAATGAAGAAAATATGTAAATATACACTTTCCTCTTCTGTGACCTTGTTTCAAACATTAAGACTCATCTCCAGTGAGTGGTAGAGCCAGTTACACCCCATGAATAAAATGTATAATTATATATTATACAAGGGAGAAGAAATGTACTACATTAAAAGGAGAAATGTTGAAACACCTTACCCCATCTCATTTGCCCCTTGTGGCTGAGGATGCTGGCTGTTACGCTGCTGAGACTTCCTGCAAGGAGACAAAATAAAAGCTTCAGTCGACAGAAATGTGATTTTATAAGCTACACACGATTGTTTGGTGTCGAAGAGTTCAATGTTTTGACGTCTGCAGGAATAGTTCATCCACGCTAATGCAAAAATATCACTTCTTCTGTAAAATGACAGACAGTATGTTTGTGTCTTGCTGAACAGTTTGTGTGTGATGGATTCTGTGTGTTTGATGTGGCCTCTAAACTCTCAGACCTTTCCCAACCTGAAAAACATTGATGTTGTTTAATGACAACATTTGTGGATAATCCAGTGAGGTTTTATTTATTAACACATTCTTTCTCCACATCTTCGTATGTGTTCATCATCACATGAAATCAGCCGTGTCAGCGGCTTTGTGGTTGTTGTTTTTTAAATAGTTGATATTTTGTGATCATGTTCAGCTGCAGCAGTCTGACGTGTACTCGCTGGTATGTGAATGTGTGAATGATGTTTTTTTTTTTTTTTTACTGAAACTAACTGAGCTCTGACTTCTATCATTCTCACCTCACAATTTTGTCTTTTTATGAAATGTAACTTAAAAAACATTTAATGTTGCATCTTTGCATCGTGTCATAACATACAAATATTTCAAAATCATTATGTGACTTTGTTAAAGGTGCAACATGTGAGATCAAACCAGATGTGTTAAAGCTGCATTCTCTCTAGTGTCCACCAGGGGGCGACTCCTCTGGTTGTATAGAAGTCTATGAGAAAATGACTCTACTTCTCTCTTGATTTATTACCTCAGTAAACATTGTAAACATGAGTTTATGGTCTCAATCTCTAGTTTCAAGTCTTCTTCAACACAGCATGATGTTCATTTAGTACATTATGGTCCATGTAGAGTCACACAGACCATAAAGCAGGGGATGCTTTAGGGTCCATTTAGAGTCACACAGACCATAAAGCAGGGGATGCTTTAGGGCGGGGCTACACGGTGATTGACAGGTCATATTCCAAGATGGCTACGGCAAAATCGCCGAACTCAAGGCTTCAAAACGGCCACAAACCAATGGGTGACGTCACGATGACTATCTCCACTTCTTATATACAGTCTATTGTCCAACATGAGAGGACGAAGTAGAGCTACTTGTCATTCATATTAAAGGTACAGTGTCCATTTATGTTTTTTGTTTGTTTGATTAAATACAAAGTGGCAAAAACAAGAACATTACTCTTATTTATGTTCAGTCTTATGTGGCTTTCTTTTTTATTTAACAACTGATGACTGTAAATGTAGATCCAGTAGTAAAGGGTAAATGCTGCCCTCTATTTGTTGTAACAAATGGCCACATCTAAACATTGCACCTTTAATATTAATATAAATTGCATAAAGCCATCAAAGTATGTCTTTCCTGTAACTCTTCTTCTACCGGGTGTCGGCCACCAGTTTACAGTCCATCTTAAATCTCCTCTTACACAAAAGAAAGTGACCACACTCAAGTGCAATAATGAAGCAACACCGTAGCTCAGGGTCCATAATACGTAAACATTAAAGTGAGTGAAATGAAATGCATCCCCTGCAGCCTAAATGAACCCTCCTGCACAGCTGAGCCGTATGAATCAACTCACATGGAGCCGGATCTATAAAAACACCTGTTGGTGCCCCTACCTGGAAGAGATCCTCCTCAGCAGACTGGACCCGAGGCCTCCCTCCAGCCTGCCCGTCTAACCAGCCAGAGCTCTTAAGAGGAACAATCTGCCGCTCGTTTGCCAGCTGGTTTGAAAGAGTTTGACGCGTCTGGTTGAGCATCAACGTTTCTTTGCCTTAAAAAGAAAAAAAGCGACGAGACCTCATTCACTTCCTGTGCTACTTCTCTTTCTTACTGTCTGCACTGTTGGTGCATCTCTCCACACCCAGATGTGACACACTTGTGCGATACTGTCGGTGAAATCATCAGCTAAAGGTTTCACAAGCTGCTTTTTTTTGAAGGTTTTGAGTTGAGCATATAGGCACACTGCTGTGGCGGGCCCTCGGTTCTCCTACGTAGATGACACGAGCACCATGACCTAAATGGAGCAATGCACTATCTGACATTGACATTGATATTTCACATCTTATGGTATATTTATGTGTTTTGCTTGATGAAAGTTAAAAACATCCCAATCGCTTAAAAAGACAACATAGAAAATGATCTTCTGCTCTTTTAAAGTGTCAGTTTGTGGTGTTCTTCTAGAGGCTGGTGGGGATCTGACCTGTAGCTGATACCATGTGCATTAGAGATTTAAAACTTTAAAAATAGATATTTCACCTGAATCTCCCCTGCATTAAAACTAAAGATATGTACATTCTCTTGAGAATAAAGTCAGGAAACAAAAACAAAAGACGTCTCCGTCTGTTATCGTCTTAATAATAAATCCAGAAGATCTTCATCACCTCAACAGACGTTTATTCACCCACAAACACCTTCAGCATCTCAAACTGTAGTTCATGTCGTTATTAGTTACTATAAAACCCAAAGAAGTGTGTTGGTGTCATGAGAAGTGCCTCCATGCCCTCCAATCCAAAAGCAAAAAAAACAAAAACGTTTTTTATTCACTTGCTAAATCTCCCGTCAGCTTTCCCGAGACGCCGTCTCACTCGTGCATGAAGCTGTTTCGCATGTTTCCTGACATGATAAAGTCATGAGTGAACAATCTATTCTTCGTCACAATGGAGTCTCTTGTTCAGAACTGCTGTTTGGTTTCTGTCCTCCTCAGTGCTGCCCTCTGCTGGTCTGTTAGAGTTTAGAGAACTGAATGAGGTTCCTGTTGATCTCCGCCACGTTCCTGCAGCCTGGACCACATCAGTACAAACACATCTGTTGTTTCAGGGGAAACAGAATACTGCTGTTTTTTAAATTTATGGCACAAATACATATGAGCACTTCTCACCTGATAAAGCCATGGACAGACGAAACTCGTCATTTAAGATTTGCAGCACTTCCCTCACTCCTTCCTCACCCTGAGAGATCACACAGGACCCACAGTTACAATAAAGGACTCAATACAACCTGGAATCACACAAACGCTCCATACAATATAAGACAACATCAACGTGTTTGTTCTTTGCTACTGACAAACTCTCATTTGTCTCCGTTTACATGGACATAAATAACATGTTATGATCATATTGAGGATATTGCGTTTACCTGCTCAAACACATAAACGGGTTATTCATGTCCATGTAAACACACTCTTTTATTTACTGTGTTGTTGCCAAAGACAGATGAAGACTTCACACACAGTAGGGCTGGTGTTACAAAATACACAGTGATTCAAATGTTGATTTTATGGTTATTTGTTGAGTTTAGACTCATCAAAGTATGTCTGCAAGTTACTGTCACTGACTTTTCAATGATAACATTTGAGTATGTGGAGAGGACATATGTCAAGAGAGCCAGATAGTTGTCACGGATACTATTTCATGTAAAAGAAACAGCTTAACGTGGTTATAATCTGTCTCACAGTATCACACAGTGGTCAGTGTGTTGCTGTTTGTACCTTGTACGCGAGGCCCCACACTGCTGGACGGCCAATGAAAACACACTTGGCTCCCAAGGCCAGCGCTTTCAGCACATCACTTCCTGTTCGGATGCCTCCGTCCACGTAGATCTCGATCCTCCCCTGCACCGTGTCCACGATCTCCGTCAGGGCGTCGATCTGTTTCAAACACAGCAGGCGAAGACGTCAAAGGTTTTACTACACTTCACACTTCACGCTTTTATTTTGAAAGAGGATTACCTCCTCACTGATGTTAACAAACAACCTGTTACCCCAAAACCAGAACATGCTCTCATACTATCACATACTAGCTCTCACAGTTTGATATTTAGTTAGAAACCCTTATTTGCTTTTCTTGCAGAGAAGAAGATATAAACCACTATGCTAGATATGAAGCTGGAACCAGGAAACTGTTAGCGTAGCTTAGCATAAAGACTAGAATCGGAGGGAAACAGCTAGCCTGGCTCTGTCCAAAGGTAAGAACATCTGCGTACCAGCACCTCTAATTTAAAGGTTTATATCTTGTTTGTTTCTTTACCAGGATGTTATGTGCTGCACTGTTTCACTCTGCACAGCGACTCTGTGTCAATGTGAAAACAAGAACCACAAAACCACACCACCACTGCTACTACTGCTTCTGCTGTTCACTTCTGTATTTATTACTACTTCTACTTCTTGTTCTACTACTACAACTATTACTAATCCTATAAGTGTCATTGCCATCTGACATGGGTCTACACCTGCATCTCCTTCTATGAACATTAGAAACTAAACGATCTGTGATATAACAGGAGAAATAACTCGGTCTGTAGGTACCGAAGCCGGGCCTCCGTCCAGCTGTCTCCCCCCGTGGTTTGACACGACGATGCCCTGGACGCCGTGCTCCACGGCCAGCTCGGCGTCCTCCTTGGTCAGGATTCCCTTGATGATGATCGGCAGGCGGGTGATGGACTGCAGCCAGTACACGTCCTTCCAGCTGATGGAGGGGTCCAAGGTGTTGGCCGGGATCCCGTACTCCTCTGGGGCTGCAGTCTCCTGCTTATAGTGCACGTGGTAAACTCAACATACACTTTGTCTTGTCTCATTTATTGTTTTCCTGCCATGTCTCCACACGTATTCTTTTAAAGGTTGAATAGTTACCTGGAACACTCCATCAAAGTTCTTCACCTTGAGGTGTGGCGGCAGCTTGAACTGGTTGCGGATGTCGTTGCGGCGCTTCCCGGTGTAGGGCACGTCGACGGTGAGGACCAGGGCCTTGTAGCCCAGCCCCTCCACGCGGTGCACAATCTGCTCGGACAGCTTCCGGTCCCGGTACACGTAGAGCTGGAACCAGCGGTAACCGCTCGGTGCCGCCGCCACGATCTCCTCCACCGAGCAGGTGGAGTAAGTGCTGGTGATGTAGCAGGTGTTGAGCGCCTCTGTGGCTGTGAGGAGGTTTGAGAAGTCACTACGTTGGTTACTGAGGAAGGAATTTACATGTAGATCTGAGAGGTTCAGGGTCACGGTAATGTAGGAGACGGTCCTCACCCCGAGCTGTGGCCATCTCTCCTTCATGCCAGGCCAGGCAGTGAAAGGCCGTGGGCGCGATACCGACCGGAAAGCTGATCTCTGTCCCCTGCACCGTGGTCCGCGTGTCGCTCACCGACACGTCCCGCAGGATACGAGGCCTCAGACGGATCCTGATTGTGACGTACAGATAAACAATCAAACAATAACACTGAACCTAACGGGGATGGAGGGTTCAGGATGACTCTGAGTCAGTATGTCATTGACAGCGTGTCAACTTATCACCCAACCAAATTTAAACTTGTTGACAAAGAATTGCAAAATCTTAATATCCAGTATTTGTCAAATAAGGATTCTTAAGATGACAACATGCTGTTTTTTCTGAACCAGTAAGCTGCGAGCTTGAGATCATGTCCCCTTGGTAATGCAACTTTCAAACCAGTTCCTCATTCACTAGAACATTGCAGCATCAGTACTGAGTGAAATGTAAACAGTTATAATAGGGCACATTGACACAAACTGTAATGTATGAACAGAAATCAGTTACAGCAGTCTAAAGTCCACACATGTGTTGTGTCCTGTGTCCTCATATGATCTTTATAAATACAGCGTTTGGCTACAACTTGTGTATTTGTGGTGACATTGAACGTCTCACACTTGTATTCTCCCCCTCCGTACCTTTTGTAAGCCAGTAGATTGTCGTCCCTGGTGCAGCATTCGTCCGCTCCGGCTGCATAATAATCCCAGGTGGCCTTTGAGAGATGCTCCTTTGCATACTCCTCAAAGTCCGTCAGGCACACCATAGCCATCTCTGCACAGCGACCTCCCTCTCTGTGTGGGGCGACAGAGATCATCCGTTTTCAATTTGACGCTGCATGCACGATAAATGGCTGCAGGCTCCAACAGCAACAAGACTTCAAATGCTAAAGAACTATGAGCTTCATGACTTACCACAGAATAACTACTCAATCTGTCACAAACAGTCTCTCCGCTCTCACATGACGCTGACTACACGGAGGACTGATGTTGCAACATCACACTGAAACTGCCCTCGTATCTGCAGATGCAGCGCAAACACGCCGTCGACAAACTCACCAGTCAAGCTTCCACACTTTGACATCTGAGCCAGTCAAAACGACGTTTTTAGTTTCCTCTTATTTGGAGTTAAACAGAGATTAATCCTTGTGTCCACGTTGTTCGTTTGTGTGTCAGTCAGAATCAAACCCTCACAGAGCCTCAGTGAAAGCCCGCCGTGTGACCCGAGGGCGACCTTTTGCTCTTATTGTGTTTCCACAAGCTGGAAATGTGCTGATGGCGACTCCAGCTATAGGAGGACAAGAGGCGTCTGACGCAGTGCCCCGTGGTCCAGATGCAGTCGCACACATCTACACGCTGTGTACACGGGCCTGCGTGCTAACACATGCACAGGATACTGCTGTTGTCATGCCAACAACTCTTATTTTAGCAATGCATTTGAAAATAGAATGTTTTAAGTTCAATCTGAATTAAAGAATAAATAAAGAGATAGTACTTAGCATGCAGATGTGCTCACACACACAACAGCTGGAGAACATTTGGTTAGAACTCTGTACGCAGGTCATTGTGATACCACAATGTTAAAGAAAACTCCATTACAAGTAAAGAATAATAATGCAAGACATTTAATATGCAGATTCTACAAGTAAAGTAGTCACTACATCTGTCAAATAAATGGTTTGATTCAAATGTCTTCATGTGGTTTGAAGTGAAGCAGAAGAGTATAAATAAAAATACCATGAATAGTTCACCACAAAGCTAAAGCAAATATACTTAAATATTGAAGTTACCATCCACAACTGAAGCTTTCTTTTTTCGGAGATTTGGGGAGCTGGTAATTTAAATTAGTTTTTAATTCAAAGTTGCACAGCAGGGGACGCAGTTACTAAAACAAGTAGAACAATTAAGAATATAATTAAATTATAAATATAACAAAAACAATATCAATACAACCACCAAGTAGAGGAAACTCTGAGACATAAACCCACAACAGTTTCTAATTCATTTGAAAAAGCTGTTTGCCTTCTTATCAAAGTCCAAAATGACTTTCATTAGAGGGTAAAACTTCCATCATTAGCTGCATGCTCGTCTTCAGTAAACTGAAGAGGCACCTGATCAGTGGCTTAGAATAAAAGTTATATTCCTACTCAACCCTAAACAACACTAACAGCTGGAGGGCTGGTGTGTGAACTACAGAGGATTTCCTGAGGAAGCACCAACGCATGAGTGACTAGAAAAACAACAAACATTGCTGCAGTTGCTTCATGACATAAGGAGACAGTAGGTTTGCTTTCCTCATTTCTGCAGTGTGTCATGAATTGAAAGGAGAATAAGGCCGCAACTAACGATCATTTTCATTAACATTTAATCTGCAGATTATTTTCTAGACTAAACAATGAATCGTTTGGCCTATAAATGGTAAGAAAATATAAATAAAATGTCTCAGAGTCCAAGGTGATGTCTTTAAGTGTCTTGTTTTGTCCGTTCAAAGCAGGCGGCAACCTCTGGTCATTAAAAGTGAAGTCAAAGCTTCATGTGTTTAACCTGCATTCTCTCTAGTGTCCACCAGGGGGCGACTCCTCTGGTTGTAT